CACCCTCCTTGCCACTGTTTTTGGATCACTTGTTGCTCCCCTGTCCCTGGGTTGGTCAGCATCACCTCCTTACCCCCGACACCCCCTCTCCCGTGTCCTCCCAGAACCGTTGATCCCATTGTTTTCTCCTCCAGACTATTCATCTAGTCTATCTTATCTAGCTAGATCTGTAGAGATAATGATATGCATCAAAAACCAAGCCTTAGCAAGATAGGCGATCAGTGAGAACACAGCGCTGGCAACAAAAAAGGAAACCAATTACCCATAGAAGAATAAGTTAATTAAAAGAAAAAAATTTTAAGCAGAAAGAAAAACCTGTAAATAGATCAAGGTCTGATTTTTTATCTCTAGGCCTGTCCTTCAGTCAGGACCGATGGGGTACCATGCTCTGGCCCCAGAGTCCTTTGTACTCTCTCAGAGGCTCTCTGCTCTGCTCCCAAAATTGCTCTGCTGCATGCCCTTTGTGGTTTGCCTCGGTGTCTCAGGGTCAGTCCGGGCCAGTCCTGACTCTGAGTCTCCAGTGTTGTCCCCCTTAGAGCCCGGGGCCATCAAAGGACAGCGTGTCTCCTGGTGGATCAGCCATATTGTCCACTCTGTCTACTGGCTGCTCAGAGCGGGGATGTTGTCCTCCAGGCCTGGTAGGTCAGGATGTGCTCCACTCTCTCTTTCTCCCCCTAGTGCTCCCATTTGCTCTGATCAGACACGCCCCTCTCCCCTAACTGCAGCTTCATTGCTGTCCCCTCAAGTAGCTTCCTCTGGGGGGAGGGGCTGTTGTCCACATAGCTGGCATGGGACCCGAGCCCTCAAGCCCCTCCACTGGCTCCCCACTCCTTGCCAACAAGCTGCATTCGTCTGGCACTGGCTTTAAATCTGGTCCCTCTTTCCCTGTGGAGACACAAACAATACCCTTCCCTTGGGTGGTCAGTGCCCTATTACCCCCACCCCTCACATATCCTTTTTTTTTCTTTCCCCTTTCCTCCCTCCCCCCCCCCTTTGTGGTTGGCTACCCTATGTACCCCTGGATTTGGTCTGGCACCTGACATACCACCTGGACCTTACCCCTGGAGTGTTTGTATACAGTAGCTTTTTCCCTGTGCCCCTTTTGCATTTTCCTTTCTGTTCTTTTATATATGTGTGTGTGTATATATATATAAACTTACCTCAGCGGACTTATGTTATACTTGTCCTTTTGTGCTTGGCTTACTTCGCTTAGCATATAATCACTTTCTGAAGGCCCTAGTATTCAGATGCTGTAATTTGAAACAAACCAGAAATATTTGTAAAGCAGCACAAAACCGTTGGCCAGGATAACTGTTCAGGAGCCCCATCGGAAACCATTGAATCAGGATCTCTGTGTATAGACTCAGCAAGCTGCGTTTTAAACAGTCCTTAGAATGACTCTGATACCAACAAGCACATTACTTATTCTATCATTTCTTCTATGTTATATTTTCACAAAATTGTTCTAAATTTTTTTTTTCTTATTTGGTTACCCTAAAATGAAATTCACACGAATGGCAGGCTTGATTCTTCTCTTTAATTTTTTTTTAATTCTCAGAATGAGAATTTTTTTTTTTTTTCAGAATGAGAATTTGATGCTCTAGCAAAATCCAAAAAAGACCAATGAATTTAAAATTTTTTATTTGGAACCCATGGGCTTTTATCTTTTTTCTGATGCAATTCATTCTTATAATTACGAGTCTTTTGGGTGTTCAGATTGTCCTATCTTCTGAGTTGTTTCAGTGTTTTCTGGGACAGAGATACTCCAATATCATCTTGCACAGTGTCTACCCAGCTATTTCTTTACAACCACAGGTTGCTTTTAATAGAAATGTTATTTAGAGGTCATTATCTGCGTGCTAGGGGCTACTAAGTGTCTCTGGGTTGTCACTGCTCTAGACCTCTTCAGTAGGCCATTCCAAACCCTTGGCTGTTGAACCAATTCCAATTTATGATCTTGTAGGATGAAGTAGAACTGCCCCATAGGGCTTCCAAGGTTTTAAATCTTTACGAAAGCAGACTGACACATTTTTCTGCAACTACTAACCTTTTTGATTAGCAGATGAGCACTTAACTACTTTGAGATTTACAATCCAAATTTGTGGTTACAGGTCTTATATTTTTTGTTTTATATTTTTTGTGAACGTATAAACAGCAAAACAGATTCCCATGTAACAGTTTCTATGCATATTGTTCATTGCCTGCCTGCATTCTTCACATTGTATCAGCAGTATTGTGATTTTTTTAGTTGTTCCATTCCTGTTAATTTAGTCTGACTGCCCTCTGGCTTCCTCCTTCAGGCTTTTAAAGTAGTCGTTGACCATTTGATCTCATATAGATAACTTTCCAAAATGTGCAGTACTCCAGAGTGACCTTTATTTTGATTATCTTTTTAAAAAATATTTGGTGTCGTAGTTGCTGAGAATATATATTGTCAAACATACACGAATTCAGTCATTTGCACTTGAGCAGTTCAGTGACTAATTGTATTCCTCAAGTTGTGCATCCATTCTCACTCTCCTTCCCTGAGTTGTTTTCCCCTGTTAACATAAACTCGGGGTCCCTAAGGGTCCCACTTCTCCAATCTTTCAATTTACTGTTGTCTCTTTGATCCTACTTTAAAAGAACACATTGAGCAGTCTCCCAGCTACCCTGTATGCAGAGATAGGAACCGTTCCTTAGGGGTTCCTGGACTAAATGTTTACCGGGGCAGACAGCCTCATCTTTCTCCTTCAGCGCTGCTCATGGGGTGAACCACCAGCCTTGCAGTTAGCAGCCCAAGACATAACCTACTCTGCCAAAAGAGCATAACAATTAAGGAAAACATATTTTACTTGTTAAACTAGGCTTCTGTTTGCTTTAAAGAGCCCTGGCAGCATAGTGGGTTACACATTGCACTGCTACCTGTAAGATCAGCAGTTCAAGTCTACCAATCACTGCATGAGAAAAAGATGAGGCTTTCTGTTCCTGTAAAGATTTACAGTCTTGGAAACCCCAGGGGCCAGTTCTGCTTTGTCTTTTACGGTCACTGTGAGTTGGCATCACTTCATTGCAGTAGATTTTATTTTAGTATTTCGTCTTAAGAAGACTTCAGAGGAATTTTTAATTTTAGATTAAAAGAACATCACAGGGCAATCGTTTTTTAGGAGTTCATGAGAACTATAAATTCTGGTCTGTTTTTTTCCCCTTCTGATCTGAACACTTTAATAGATATTCTTTACTTTTTGAGTTAACCTGCTATTAGTTTGAAGATAATTTTAGGGGTTGGTCTAAAGTATGTCTCAAGGCAGTCGTCTTAAGAATACCTACAGCTTCCATGAATCTGGCCTTGGTGTTTTTAGAATTTGTAGTTCTGTTCCACACTTTCAGCCCTTTCCATCAAGGTCCACCTATTGTGATCCCGATAACAATATTCAGTAGTGATAGGCACATGCCATCGAGTTCTGGTCTCGGGAAAGGAGGGAGGCCATGGTTCATGCAGACAGTCTTTCAGACCACTTCCTTCTCAGATACTTGAGTTCCCTTCTTTCTCTTTTGCTTTCTTTTGATGAACAGACACTAATAGTTGTGTCTTCCATGGTTGCTTGCGAGCTTTAAGACCCCAGATGCTACTCGCCGAACTAGGATGTAGAACATAGACTTTTTGAACTACATGATGCCAGTTGACTTAGTTGTCTCAGAAGATTATGCTCCTAGGACTTCAAAGGGTTGAATTGTTTTTTTCTTCATAATTCTTATATTGATGTGTTGATGTGTCAATTATTTTGTGCTAAAACATCATAGTCTTTAAGGATTTCTTTTTTAATTGCTGCTTTTCCTTTACTTTTGGTCTATCTAGCTCATGTTCCTTTGTAAACAACTATGCCCAAAATGATTTGAGCAATTTTATCATTCAAATTATATGGGTAATTACAGTTTTACTTAGCATTTATTAAAAAATGTGAATGACAAGTATTTTATTATGTGTAGTATCCATTTTGATGGAAAAAGTAGTCATTTAAAAAAAATCTAATTTCTTTAAGGGCTCATACAATTCCTATCACAATCAAAAGTAGTCATTTTTAATCAATAATTTTTACTAAGCCACATCTTTTAATGGAATCTTAGTCAATATAGGAATTATTGTAAGATAAATTCTTTATGGCAAAAATATACAAATGGCCAGTGAATGAATGGAACATATACTACTAATAATCAAGAAAATGCAATTATAATGCTGATACAGTACAATTTTTCACTACAAGATGAACTGTATTTTTGGTAAGGATATGGCATAAGAACATTTATATTCACTCTTGGTGGGAGTAAAAATTGGTACAATTGCTTTTAGAGAGCAATTTGGCAGTGTCATTCAACATTAACAATGAACTTAAATCTCTGACTAAAAATTCCACCTCTTGAATGTTAGTCTTTAATCTTAACACCCATGTTCTTTGTATACATGTGCCTTCTTATGTATACATAAAGACATGTATATATAAGAACATGTATGGAAAAGGTTGCTCTTTGAAGCATTATATATCATCATAATAATAAAAAAATTAGAGATGTTTGAAGTGTCCATCAATAGGAGGATGATTAAATATATAGTATGATTATACTGGAGAAAATTACAGGATTTAAAAAAAAGAGAGGTAATCCTCCAGTACCTCTGATATAAAGTGAAAAAAATATATAAAAGTTACCACATGGTATTGCATAGTTACCCAATTTGTTGATTTAAAAAAAACTATACTTGTGTGTATTTGATTTGACAATTAGATGCAGTAAAAGTTCTATTTGGATACTTAATATTTTGTCCTCCCCACCCTTTTTTTTAACAGCTTTTAGAAATTAACTGGACAGGACTAACCAATCTTCTAGATATCCCTGGACTGAAGTAAGTATTTTATAATAACTTATCATAATTATCCCAAAAAATCATATGAGAATGGTTAAGACCTTTGTCAGGTAGGATTAAGTGCTTCTCAGTAGGCTCTGATATGAGAAACAAGTAGAGAGGCTGTAGTTGGATTTTATTCTCATAATCTCATATAAAACTACTTAAATCTAAATGAGCTAAAATTAGAATGGTGTCAGGAGTGCTTTAAACTGAATCCTTTATTTTAATTTTACTTTCCATTCATCATGAGGTATCTCCCCAGTCTTTGTAGCTTACAAAAGTTGCAATCTTTTAATATATGTTCATTTAAAAATTATATTTCATTTATTTTTTCCCCAACCAATTGAAAACTTTAAAAGTGACTAAATGTTTCAAAACTAACCTTTTCCAGGTTCTTTTCAAGCTGTAGCTACACCTTTCCCTTTCTGCCTTTTGTTACCTTTACCCATGCCTCTTTGAAAGGCATAGGTGTCAGTACTGGACCTAGCTAACTTGTAGAACTCCTCCAGGAATTTGAGTGTGAGAGGTAAGGAACTTGAAGTTTTTCTCTATCACTGGAAGTCCCTTCATGATTCTGTAGCAATTTAGTATTAAAACTTGAGAAACAACATTTGTATAATAAGCACTTGGGAGCATTTAGGACATAATCTTGCTTGGCGAGAATGGCAATCATTCTATTTTTGCTATTAATCCATTTTCAAATGATGAGTAGTAACTATTTGTGATAAACTATTACATTACCAGTCAGGAAGTTCAGAAATCACAGGCTTCTAAAACTCATTTTTACTAGTGTTATTTGAAAGTTGAAATGCATGACTTATTGGTTAAAGTTGTATGTTTCTATTGGATATTTTTCTGATTTGTGTCATTTTTTCTCCTGACACAGCTCAAAAATTAAATGACAAAAGCCTTGGTTGCAAACTATTTTTTTCTTTTATATTTTTATTCCACAGTGATGGCCAGTAGAAATTATTCTATTTTATTATTTGAAATTTAATAAACTGAAGCATAAACATATAATAGAGTTTTTTAACGCACTGTGGTTTACTGGATTTAGAAAAATATCATCTTTAAAAGGTGTTTAGCAGGAATGCATAGTTTTAAAACATTTATTAAGATGTCATATATTTAGAGCATCAGACACAACTCAAGCTATCTTAAATGGGTGAATTAATATTACTTTTAATGTCAGTTTATTAATATCTCTAACAAATTATATTATGTCTGCTATAAGCTATCCACTGTTGTTACTGCTTAGGGTATAGCTGTGAATAAAGCAGTCAAAAATGTATCTCCTGTGGAGCTTACTTTATAGTCACTCATTTCATGGCTCCTGTAATCAAAGGTCTAAAGACTTATTGGGGATGACCTCAAGCAGAGCTAGGTGTTGATGTTCAAATGATGCCATAATAGGTTTGAAACAAATAATTACTATCCACCATTTAAAACTGGATGATTGTGACAAAACTAAAATGACTTCATTTCTTTCCAAGCCCTGTTTCCACATGACTATTATATGATTTATTTTTTCTCCATTCAGCTGTTGACTGTTCTGTTTCTGTGTGCTTTTGCTTCTGGCAGACTGTTGGTATATAGTAGCAACTTCTAGCTTCTGGTTTGCAAAGGTAGCAGCCTTGGTTGAAAAAGGACTTCTTTCCACTAGATCCAGTAAAAGTTTAGGGTTGAATCCTCACTGAGATGTCAGCTATGCCCACACGGAAGAAGCACATCAGCCAGGATGATGTAAGGATTGTAAACAAAACCCAAGATCAAAGGAAGGAAATATGTTGGAGCTTAAATTCTCAGCACCTGGTTTATAGAAGGGTATGGAAGACGCCAAAAGCCCTTTGCGCAGGGAATAAGTCTCCATCGAATTCCCTTGGGTGTGAAAACCCTGCCCTCAGAGAGAGTACGTTAAAAAGTGAATTAATGCAGATATAGTTAGGTTAAGATTTATCATCTCATTTTTAGTTTTCCCTTTTAACCCATTCTTAATTTATGTATTTTTATTATTTTCTGCTTTCTTGTGGGTTTTTTAAAAATGTAACTAATGTCATTGAACAAATGGTATAGAAATTATTAAATGAGAATATAATTTTCTGAGTTAATTTTTATTGAAAACAAAAATTCAGAGTTGACTTTTGTTTTCAATCAGATGCCCATCCTTGATCATATTTCTTTGATTGTGATGATTAGGTTTGGGTCTCATGGCCACTGCAGAAGAGACAGAAATAGGTAACTTAGTTGAAAAAGCTTCATTAATACCATAAAACCTGAGATTTCCCCAAAGGAAAACCTCACTGGAAGTAGTGGTTCTGGTTAGCAAGGCAAAAACATTAAATATCTAGCTATGAAATTTAATATCCCTACTTTTAAGTATAATCCTGAAACTGAATGTTGAAGATGAAAGTAGTGGTTATGATTATGATACAAACAAAAATAAAGATGGTAATATTAAAAGCATTAAGAAAAGTGACTGATGTTATGCCTTAACTTTTGGTGAGGAAGAATATATTATGTTAAAGAAGAAAGGCCAAAGAGGAAAAGGTGCCATTGCTTTGTAATGATGCAGTCAGCACCAGTCAGGACAATGCAGCAGAGGAACGAAGCATCAGGGTCAGTAGTCCTGACATGAACTCAGAAGAAGACTAGTTGTTTCTTAAAGAAAGCGAAAGCTAATGATGGTAAAAGTGCCTCTGATGTGTAAAGACAGAACCCCCAGTCACTGTCAGTTGGTCCTGCTAGAGTGGCATGTTATCATGTTGCTGTGATGCTGGAAGCTGTGCTCAGGGCATTTCAACCAGGGTTTCGATGGAGATTCCAGACTGAGAACAGACGATGAAGAAAGAAGAAGCGGTCCGTTAAAAAAACCCAAAAAACCCATTGATAGCCTTCCGAATAGTAGCAGAACATTGATTTAGTGCTGAAAGCTGAGTTTCTCAGGTTGGAAGACACTCAAAATATAACCGAGGAAGAACTGCCTTTGCAGAGGAAACTTTAATAATGTGGACAGAGCAAAGATTTTGTCTTCTTCACTTGCTGATGAGTCATGGCTCAAAAAGAAAAGAAACAACCAACTGTAAACGTGTATTAGTAATTGAAGCATGGAGTATACAAAGTATGAATCTAGGAAAGTGGAAATCTAAAATGAAGCATATAAATATCAATATTCTAGGCATTAGTGAGCTGAAATGGAATATTATTGGCTGTTTTGAATCAGACGACCATTTGGGTCATTAGGCATGAACTAAAAATTTCAAAAGGATGGTGTCCCATTCATCATTAAAAAAATTTCAAGAACGATTTTGAAGACAATGCTGTCTGTGATAGGATAGCATCTATACTCCTACAGTGAAGACCAGTTAATATAACAAATATTCAGGGTTTTGCAGCAAATAATAATGCCAGTATTCTACCAGCTTCTTCAGTCTGAAATTGATTAAACATGCATGTCAATTAATTTGATAATTACTGGTGATTAATTAGAATGTGATAGTTGCAAACGAAGACGAATCAGTAGTTGAAAAGTGTGACTTTGGTGATAGAAAGAAGCTGTCGGTCACATGGTAGAATTTTGCAACACCAGCAACTTCTTCATTGCGCTTTTTAAAGTAGCATAAATAGTGACTAAACATAGACCTTGCCAGGTTGAATACACAGAAATTAAGTTGGTTACATCTGTGGAAAGAGATGATGGAGAAGTTCAGTAACATCAGCCAAAACAAGGACAGAGGGCAACTTGGAATAGACCATCAATTGCTCATATGCAAGTTCAGTTCAGGTTGAAGCTGAAGAATATTAAAACAAATCCAAGAGAGCCAATATACAATCTTGAGTATAGAACATCTCCTGAACAAATTTGATACACTGAGCACGAATCGCAAATTTTGGGATGATATGAAAAACATCATACATGAAGAAAGTAAATAGTTATTTTAAAAATAGGGAAGAAAGAAAAGATCAAATGGATTTCAGAAGAGACTCTGAAACTTGCCCATGAATGGAGAGTTGTTGAACCAAATGGAGTAAGTGATGAACTAAAAGATCTGAATAGAATTTCAAAGTGTAGCTGGAGAAGACCTAGGTAAAACATTATCAATAAATATGCAAAAACTTGCAGCTAAAAACCAAAAGTGAAGAACATACAGCATATATAAAGCAGAAAAAGTGAAGAAAAAATAAAAGCCTTGAAGTATGTAAGTTGGAAGCAATGTGCAGAGCCACTGAACCAAAAATAAGTGGTAGACATTTAGCCATTTTAAGAAATAGCAGATGGTCAAGAACTGAAGGAAGTAGTCTAAACTGAAAACATTAGTGAAAAAACAAGGTTCCAAGAATTGATAGAATGCAAATTAAAATGTTTCAACAGACTAATGCAACAGTGGAAGCATTTAATTAGTCTATCCCAAGAAATTTAGAAAACCATTATCTGGCCAATCAATTGGAAGAGATACCCATTCTTTAGGATGGGTAGTTGTACCTATTCTTAAAAAAGGTAACCTAACAAAATAAATTATTCTAAAGAAAGGTAACCTGACAAAATAAATGATCAAACAACATCATTAATATCACAAGCAAGTTAAATTTTATTGAATGCAATTTAAAAGTGGTTGCAGCAGTATATTGAAAGTACAACCAGAAATTCAAGCCAGATTCTGAACAGGTTTGGGGACAAGGTATAAAATTACCGATGTCAGATATATGTTAACTAAAAGCAGGAATACTAGAAAGATGTTTATTTGTGTTTTATTGACTATGGAAAGGCATTTAGCTATGTGAATCATGGAAAACTATTGATAACATTGAGAAAAATAGGGATTCTAGAACACTTGTATTTATGTGGAATATGTACATACACATAGAGGCAGCCATTTAAACAGAACCAGGGAATCAGGGTTGTATCCTTTACCATATTTTTTCAATTTCTGTATGCTGAGCAAGTAATCTTAGAGGCTGGACAATCTGAAGAAGAATATAACATTAGTATCAGAGGAAGGCTTGTTAACCTGTGGTATACAATGCAAAGGACACAAAAATTCACAACTGGACCAGTAGACAATAGCATCATGCTACGAAGAGAAAATACTGAAGTTGTCAAGTATTTCATTGTACTTAGATCCAAAATTAATGCTCATGCAAGCAACATTCAAGAAACCAAAGACCTCTGTAAAGTGCTAAAAAGCAAAGAAGTCACTTTAATCACTGAAGTGTGCTAATCTGGGCCATGGTATTTTCAGTTGCCTCATATGCCTATGAAAGTCGGACAGTGAATAAGAAAGACAACCAAAGAACTGGTGCATTTAAATAATGGCAAAGACCAAGTTCTGTGGACTGCCAGAAGAACAGGCTAATCTGTCTTGGGGGAATTATAGCCAGCATGCCCTTTAGAAGTGAGGGCAGTGAAACTGGGGCTCATGTTCTTCGGATGTGATGTCCGGAAAAGAGACCAGTCACTGGAGAAACGCATCATGCTTGATAAAGTGGAGGATTAGTGAAGAAGACCAGCACCCTTGACGATATGCAGTAAGACTCGCCGCAACAGTGGCTCACGCCTATCAATTGGGAGGATGGTGTAGTACAAGACAGTGCTTCTTTCTGTTGTCAGAGTCACTCTGAGGCAGAGTCCACTCCAGGTCTCCTAACAACATCAAGGACAGAATAACGATTGCACTCTGTTAAGGTGGTTGGCTTTTTACCATGGGAGCTAAGGAATTCTTTAAAAGCATTTAAATCCTCAGAAGGGAGTTACCCACTTCAACAGATTTTCAGTATAATTGAAACTGGCATTTCTAGGGGAAAGACATCTGAGAGAAGAGAGTAGTATTACAGCTTTGAAGATGCACCTCCTTCCCCTGGCTTACTGAAAATGCACCCACTGTCTCCACGCTTTAACTCTCTTAGTCTCTTTGAAATCAAGCAGTGTAATTAAATAACTTCATGAATACAGTAAGGGGTTTTTGGGTTTTAGTACTTTTCTAACTAGCAACAACAAGAAGCACAGGATTGACCTCCTATATGCATATTCAATCGTTATTCCTTGACTGACGATGACATTTGCTTGATACCAGTGCTTAAAATAAAATTATTTTTATGGTGAATTGATTAAAGGTTTACACAGCAGGTCAGTTTTTCCATCCAGCAATTTATACACATTTTGTTTCATGTATTTAATTATAATCCCCACCATGTAACCCCAGTGGATATTTCATATGTATATTTGCTATACATATGTATGCTCATATTTTTAATTTAGTGAGAAATAATTTTTTAAATTTTATGGTGCAGGTAAAGATGTTCTATAACAATAACATTTCAGTTTATATATACTTTCAAAAGTGCTTTCATATACATTACTTAGATCTTGCATTTACTCTAAAGAGTAAAATATTAAAGGTATATTTGTTTCTATAGTTGAAGTGATTTTACTATTACTGAGATCACTATATAGTAGATATACTATATCAAAATTATTAACAGTGTTCTGTATTCAAAGTTTTAGTAATGTTTGAATAGAATGAATTATAAATTATTTTGCTTTATGAGGGCTATGTGTACAATGAGAGATCTTTGACATGATGGTAGATGAATGTTATATTATTCAGTGTACTTTAATGTATTTTTGAACTATTTATGGTAAAAAAATGGAATAATATCAACCTTAGTTATATAATACTAAATCTGTAATGTTATTTGGGAAATTATGACATGCTTTTAAGAAATTTGAAACATAGCCAGAATATTGTTTTGTATTCTAAAAATATGCTATAGTTGACTCCTATATTGTAAATGGGATACTGATGCCTTTTGTGATACACATATTGTTAAAGGTGATAGCAGATATTGATATGTCCGATAGTTGGCTTATTCTTTTTCTTCCCAATTAACAGTGGTTTATCAGATACTATCATTTTGGATATAATATCAAACTACCTAGTGCTTCCCAATCGAATCACCGTTCCTCTTGTCAGTGAAGTTCAAATAGCCCAGTTGCGGTTTCCCATACCAAAGGTAAGCACATTTTAAGACATGTTTATATTAGAGATAGAGTTTTGGTATTGGGCCATCGCATATTTCTCTAGATAGCTACCTTGCTACCATGTTTATTAATGCAGGTTTCTACCACTCTTAAGAAATGAACCTATGTACATTTGAATAAAAAGTTTATCACTAACTTCTATGAAGTTCTTATACTTCAGTCATGTTGCTCAAAGGTATTGATAGAGATTTCGTTCAGCAAATGTTATCACAAGTCATTAATGACAGCTGTGAGTAGCACACACAACTTAATTATCTTAAAAAAGCACATCAATTACATTAATTTTTACAAAACATATAATAAGCTCTGAGAGACAAGTGCCAGTTCCTGGAGATCATTATGAGAACTTTGTATATTGAATTTTCATTTTCTCTCAGATATTAGAATATGGTTATCCTTACATTCCTTTAGTAAGTAACATGTTAAAGGAAGCACTAATATTACCACTACCCTTGATAAAATAGCTAGAGCCTGGACTATCTTTGAAGTCAGGCAGAATTAGATTGGAATCATAACTCTGGAGTTTAGTAGTAACTTTATTTGGGGGGACATTTTATCTGTCCCGCGTGAGCCTTAGTTTCTCTATTTAACATGTTGATGATGCCTAGCACACAAAGTTGGTAATTAAGAACTTGGCATAGTTGGTACACTAATAATACCGTCAAAGATTAGTTTAAGGTTAGATGATTATTTCTTAGTTAAGAACATTACATTTCTTTTGCTCGATCATTGAAGAGGCTATTGGAATTTCTCCTTTTATTGTATTTTGTAGTCTTTTCCCTCTAAATTTAAGGACCTTTAGCGACTTCCATATCAGTTTAATCTGTCTAGAATTTAGGTTCCTCTTAAATCGTATACTAATTTAATAGAGTTGACAGAAGTAGTGATCTGGTTACAGAAATCATTTAAGCAATCCTATCGTGGGATTGTTTACAATAAGGAATAATATTGATGCATACAAGGCAATTTTGGAGGATGGGAACAACAGGGAGAGAAGAGGGAGGGCAGGGACATTTTTTATTCCATTTCTTGGGCTGTGTTTTATATATATATATATCTCGAACTAGAAAAACCCTTCAGATTCCTTTTGCGGCAAACCTAAATAGTAGGGTTTTTTTCCAGCAATTTTATGGGCACACAATTCATATGTCATATAATTGAATAGTTCAATCGTTCAATCATATCAAAGGGAATTGTACAATCAGCACCACATCTATCTTTGATCAACACCACCATCCCCCACTGCCCATGGTTAAATTGCCTTTAAAATGAGTTGTGCAATCACAATCAGTTGTAGTGCTCCCTGTCCCCTCCTGCCTTTATTCTTCACTCCCGAAATCCCCTTCCCCTCCCTATTGCCCATCCCCCACCCCACCCCGCATTCCCTATAACACCTTGTATCAGTTATTATCAATATACAGTCACTCCTGTGCTTCACAGCTGTGAAACCCAACAAAAGACAAT